AAAAGGTTAAATACCCTTAGAGAAAGTATGGATAGTGATACATCCATGATGAGCTCATAATCATTATGGCAGTGGCTTTGTTTTGCATAATTCTAAAGTAAATGTCACCTTTCTCCTTTGGAGATTCCAGAACTGGTATTCAACAAAGCGCGTGTTTGCAAGCAGATAGCTGGGTAAGAGGAGCTACTCTTTCCCAGGCAGGGGACTATTCATGCAGCTATCCAAGCTTTAAAAGGCGCCAGCTAATTTCTCTTTGGAATTGAAATGCGATTACATATCGAGGACAAGTTCTAAATATAAACAGAATCTACCAAATACATGACATTTTTTTAGCTTTGTTTTTGCAGCATATTTGCAGGAAGAATTAACCACCCAAACACACTATAATCCTTCCTTAAAGCACACAGATCAGGCAATTTGGTGAATCCTTTAAAAGCTTTCTTCAGAAGCTTAGGGTACTTTTAAAGGAATGGCCTTTCATTCATAAACGGTTATAAAAATGCTAAGAAAATTAATAAGAGAATCAAGTCACTAAAATATGCAGAACAAAATACCATAGTATATGCCATAATAAGCAGAAAAAAATATGCAATATATAGCATGAGGATGTGTATGTAAGTGGTAAAAACTATATAAAAGGGAAGGATTATTACAAAAGTTCAAGTTATGGGTTCTTCATCAGGGAAGGAGGCAAATACAATTTATATGGTACACACAAGGGTTTTTGCTGGAGGAATGTTCCATGGATGCTTATTGTTGTTTTTATTCAATATATACTGTTATAAAATACTTTTAGATGTTATATTTCCTAATATTTTAAATGATAAAAGCAAAATAATAAATCAAGGTGAAGAGAAAGTACAAATTAAGTTGTTTAAAAACCAATGTCATATAGTTGAAAAAGTAAATATATTTATTTCAAGTGGATGAACGTGTCTTCATATTATACTTTTTAAAGATTTAAACACATGACATGTCAAGGTACCACTAAAGCGTAAGTCCCTAGAAGGGTTGAAGTATAAGTAGACGGATGAGAAAAGGTATATCAGATAAATTACTAACAAAAGATAACTATTGTAGCTATCTGAACAATGGGAAAATTTGACTTTAGGACAAAATGTAATGTTGCGTATTCTCTTTGTCTCCAATTCCTTTCTCCATTTATCCTCCGAGCCTTCTCCATCCCGGCATCTGTTCCAACCTCCCAGTTCTTTTGATAAATCATCTCCAGCTATTTTTGTCCTATTATTAGCGAACCATTTCCAAAACCTAAGATCTTTAATCTTTCAACTCTGGTAGGACATAGTATCTGTGTACCACTAACTTGGTAATGATCATATGCTATATTTTAGTATTATTTATATTCATAAATTTCTTTAATTAAAATATAATGTCCAAGAGCTAGAGGCTATACCTTATTTATTTTTTAACACCTCCTGTCACCTCACGCTAGGACCTGCCATATGGTAGAACCATATCACCTGGCACATAGTAGAAAGTCAATAAACATGTCAGCAGTCGACTGAAAAATGGCTTCTGAAAGCGCATAAAAAGCTCTTTCGAGATGTTTGAGTACTTTGCCAATGCTATGCATTTGCATTTTCTAAGCAACTTCTCAGCCAAAGTTTTAAAATGGAAAGAGCGAGAGTTTGAAAGTGACTAATCCAAAACTGTGAAAAGTTGGTGAGGTGAGAGTCAACAGGAGGACACCCCCCTCTGGATCTAGTTGGGAACTCCCATATGTTCATGACTGATCTTCAAGAGTGGGGACTGCATGTAATGAACTTCTTGCCTCTGCACCTGGAGCAAAGTCCAACATATAGCACAAGCCAGTATATACTTCTGCAGAGTGTGCGAGAATTAAACATTAGTCTTGGATTATTTAATTTGCTCCCATGGCTTCTAAACAACCTATCATTCCAGGCCTTCCACTGTGGGTCTTTAGGTCTGGCTTCTCCCCACAGGGAGAGAGTGATTGGCACTTTAAGGAGGGAGTAGTGGGGGGTGAGGGGTGGGAGGTGTAAAAGACCCAGTTCCTCCCATGTGAGATGCAAATGTCAACGCCAGAATTTGTACTCTGGGTTTAGGGGCTGATTGGAGCAAAGCTTAATTGAGTGAATTTGATTCGGCCCGCTGATGGTAGACTAAAGAAACACATGACAAATGTTTCAAAGGAGGGTGTTAGGGGAAGCCCATGGAATTGATTTTCAGTGCTTATCCAGCTGGCCATCAAGAAGTAGCTGGAATTCCGCCTTTCTCATGACATACAAGATAGGGTGTCTGCTGCAAATCTCTTTCATGGTAAACATACTGTTTTTTTGATTAGGCAACACATAAAGCATATGGTTTAAAATTCAAAGGGTACAAGGTAAAAAAAACTTAGTGTTCCTACTACCTTTGTCCAAAGTTGCTTTCTCTAGAGACATCTACAATTATTGGTTACTTCACTTAATTTTAGCTACATAAGCATTTTATATTTATGTATACATATAAAGGTTTATATGTATTTATATGTTTTAGACAAATTTTGAATCTTGATTTTTTTTTATTTATGTTTAAAATCCCAGTCTCTGTTATTGTCTGGGATATTGACAGTGTTCAACATTTTTGTTCATGAGTGAATGAATGAATGAATGATTTAATAATAGCCTCTAATTCATTCTGAACCTAAAAGTCACCCAACATTTTATAAATGCTATATCTTTTATTGCATCTATAATATGCAGCAATTTGGCCTATAGAAATCATATGCATTCTTCAAAGTTCATCTTGCAAAAATTGGTTCTGCAGGAGGAATCTTCCCTGAATATTGGCTCTCAGTGTCTCTCCAGTTCTCTCTAAACTAGGGGTGTCGAACTCAATCAGAGAAGGGGCCAAAATCTAAAATCCAGCCTAAATCGCGGGCCTAATGGTTTACTGAACAGTCATAAACTGTCATTGTGATGGAAACGCAGCGGAGTGCAGTGATGACAGCGCGGTGCGGGCCACATTGCAAGGCCTGGCGGGACGGATTTGGCCCGCGGGCCTTGTGTTTGACACATGTGCTCTAAACACTTAGCAATAAGTGTGGTGTTTTTTTTTTTAACACATTTTATTGTCCTACTCTTCTCATTTGTTAGTATAATGGCCATGAAGATGTGAATAATATTCTTAATAATTATTTTTTAGTGTTTACATGTATCAGACACTTTGCTAAGCACATTATATGCATTATCTCCTTAATCTCTACAGCACACCTATATAAGTTAGTAACATCATATCATCCTGTAGCATACCTTCCAATATCACCTTGACTCATCCTTGAGATCATGAGCAGACTGTTTCCTTAGGCACCACTGATTTCTAGCATCTTGCTGCCCAAGTCATCTCTACAAAATGTGCTTAACCCAACATACTGACACCCCAGAAGTGACCCTTAACCAATAAAGTATAGATGTTGATGGATAAATACACCAGCTTTCTCTCCTCTCAGTGAAAAAAAATTTTAAGTTGCATTCTAAACAGTCACTTCTGGGGTACCTGTGTGATTGAGTCTCTCAGTTACCCATAATAATAAAACCCCTTTTTATCTCTTTATTACCTCCCCCCGCCCTTTTTTTTTTTCTTTTCAATTTTCCACTTATTCACTTTCTGGAATTACCTGCCAAATAAATTACTTCTGCTCAATTCCTTGTCTGCTTCTAGAGAAATTAAATCTAAAAAAGTTGAGGTTTAGAGTAACTTTCAAGTTCATATATACATCAAGTGGCAGATTAGGATATGAGCAAGAAGTCCTGTTCAACAGCACCATACCTTTTTTACCGCAGTGTAGTATTCCATTGCATAGATGTACCACAGTTTTGTTTTGTTTTGTTTTTATCCACTCATCTGCTGATAGGCCCTTAGGCTGTTTTCAAATCTTAGCTATAGTAAGTTGTGCTGCTATGAACATAGAGGTGCATATATCCTTTTTGATTGGTGTTTCTAGTTTCTTGGGATATATTCATAGAAATGGGATCACTGAATCAAATGGGAGTTTCAGTTTTGGTTTTTTGAGGAAAAAGGAAGGAATTCTTATCATTTGCAACAGCATGGATTGGACTGAAGAGCATTATGCTAAGCAAAATAAGCCAGTCAGAGAAAGATGATACATATCACATGATCTCATTCATTTGTGGAATATAATGAACAACATAAACTGAAGAACAAAAACAGATCCAGAGACAGAGAAGCATCGATCAGACTGTCAAACCTCTGCGGGAAGGTAGGGGAGGGTGGGAGTAAGGAGAAGGGATCAAGCAAAGGACTTGTGTGCATACAGATAAGCCTAACCAGTGGTCACAGACACCAGCGGGTGAGGGCAATGGAGGGATAAGGACACATATGTAATACCTTAATCAATAAAGAAGAAGAAAAGCACCATACCTTCCTGCCAACTAGATACTAAATGCCTCAAAGCAAGCCATGTACTGTGCTCCCCCCACACTATTTCAAAATGCAAGCCAAAGTCAGAATGTAATACATACTCTGCCAGTCAGTAACATTCTATGTTTAGAGCAGCGTTTTTCAACCGCTGTTCCGCGGCACATTAGTGTGCCGCGAGATGTTGCCTGGTGTGCCGTAGGTGCAGACAAGACAAGAATTTTATAATTTTTCACTATTTTGTTTACTTAATATTTCATAATAAAGTAATTATAAAATACTTTCTTTGTGTTTATTTGATTCCTATTCAAGAGAATTACTTTATATATAGTCAATATAGGCACAGAGTTAAATTTTTTAACATTTTCTAATGGTGGTGTGCCTCGTGATTTTTTTTCATGAAACAAGTGTGCCTTTGCCCAAAAAAGGTTGAAAAACACTGGTTTAGGGTCTCTTTCCCACCTCAGCACATCAGGACATGCATTTTAAGCATCGTTAGCTAAACACGAGTGCCTGTAAGTTGTTACTGAAACTGATTTTTTTTAAAAATTATGTGTGTTTGTTTAATGCCTGAAGATCTTCTCATTATTGTTCTACAGACAGCAACTTCATCCTCGCGAATGCCCAGGTGGCTAAGGGTTTCCCCATAGTCTACTGTTCTGATGGCTTTTGTGAGCTTGCTGGATTTGCCCGAACTGAAGTCATGCAGAAGAGTTGCAGCTGCAAATTCTTATTTGGGGTTGAAACCAATGAGCAACTGATGCTTCAAATAGACAAGTCACTGGAGGAGAAAACGGAATTTAAAGGAGAAATTATGTTCTACAAGAAGAATGGTGAGTTGGCTTTCTTTGGGGCTCATTGGATGGTGGTGAAAGGTTACCTTCTTTCAAATTCAGTAATTGCTCCATAACTTCCATTAAGGCTTAATGGTATTTCACATAAATACTGTCTGTTATAGAAGTTCCACAAATGACCTGGACAATAATCTTGTTTTAGCCATTAGCAGCCCCAAAATTTAGCATGATAATTGTAACTTCAGTGTCAATATATAAATTAAATTAATATGTGTCAAAATGAAGTATATGACTATTATATATCATTCTTAAAAATATATGGTAGATATAATAGCTGTTAGTATATTAACAGATGATCTTTTAAATAGAGATAGTTTTCCAAGTCTTATGCCTTTATGAACCACAACTCAACCTCAGTCATTAAGGACAGAGACCCAAGTGTTTGTTGGGAGAAAAGCAAGTGAATTTAAAGCATCAGGATAAGCATTTTTCTCTTTCAGTTCCCCAACCACCAAGCTTTTCTCACCACTCTCTCCAATTCTACAGACAAAATAAGGGACACACACATTGTCTGAGGGTGAAAGTAAATTTGCCTGAACTATAAACTGCCAGTGGGAAAATACTAAGTATTTTCTTAAGGCTAAAGTTTTATGATTCTCCTCTAAATGTAAGAGGATCTAGGGATGCATATGGTATCATCAGTGCTCGAGTCTTAAGTGAGAATAGATATTATCCTCTGGGCCCTGGTAGTTAGGAGTGAATCCAAAAGGCATTATGTCGGGGAAAATGCTGCTAAATAAAAATTAGAACACATCATTGTTTTCCAGTTTTATCTCTTTCTTTAATATCGATAGTTTCCTTTAGGCAAATATACACCCCTGAGTTTTAGCTGGCACATGGCTGCCAAGCTAGAGAATATATTTTTCAGCCTTCTTTGCATTTAAATTTGGCATACGACTAAGTTTGGGGCCTGTGATATGTGAGAAGAAATGATCTATGAAACTTCTAGGTAAACCCCATAAATAATGAAATTGTTTGCCCTGTAATTTCTCTGCTCCTTTCTCATGGTGTTATTGACTGAACTGTACCTTCTCCAAATTAATATATTGAAGCCCTAACCACCTCCCTCCTCAATGTGACTATAAGTGGAGATGGGGCCTTTAAAAGGGTACTTAAAATTAAGTAAGGTTATAAGTGAGGGCCTTAATTCCTTAAAAGAAAGGAAGATATATCAGGGATACCCCACACTTAGGTCATATAAAAAGACAGTGAGAAGGCAGCTGTCTGCAAACCAAGGAGAGAGGCCTCAGGAGAAACCTACCCCGCTGGCACAATGATCTCAGACTTCCAGCCTCCAGAACTGTGAGAAAATAAATGCCCGTTGTTTAAGCCAACCAGTCTGTGATACTTGGTCATGGCAGCTCTAGCAATGTATCATTGTTGAGTCAGAATGTTAGAGAACAGTTGGAAAGCCAGCTTCCACCATTGACAAGGACATCATAGAGAAACACAGAACAGCAATATGGAAGGAACCTGAGTATTCTTAGAGACCCACCTTCTCTACCCCAGACAAAGACAAATCCACTTCTATCTTGTTGGAATCACTATAATTTAGATTTTTGTTGTTGTTATAACATTCAAATGATACTCTAACTCAGAGTTTCTCAATTTTGGCACTATTGACATGTGGGGCAGGTAGTTCTAAGTTGTGAGAGGCTGTCCTGAGCATGGTAGATGACTAACAGCATTCCTGGCCACTATATTCATTAACAAGTTCCTTACAAGAGTTGATACATTTGGTAAATGGTAAAATGTTGGTGGTTGTTTAATTAATTGATTTTGGGGAAAATTGGTCAGCAGCCAGCAGAAATAGCCTAATTAAGGGAAAGAAAACAGCTTTCCTTGCCTTCGATGGAAAACTTCAATTGGAACACCAGAATCAATACCAGTATTTCTGTGAAGTCCTGTAGTGAAGTAAATAGTTTAAAATGTGTTCACAGGTTTTTGTTGCTGTTTTTTAATTTATTCAAGAAACTAGTAAGTGATTAACAGCATACCAGGCCACTACATCTTGCTCTAAATACCCAGTTGGGATCTTGGTCAGGAAGAGAAGCAGGAGCCTAAACATGGCAACTCCATCCCCATTTATAAGCTATCTGTCCCTGAAGGACTTTCCTTGAGGTTGTGAGTTTTGGATACACAGTGATCATGAAGTATTGGAGAGTGCCCTTCAGGAAGGAATGGGATAGCCTAAGTCTTTGACACTAGGAACAGAGTTCGGACCAGGATGTTTTTTCCCAGAATCAATAGGTGAGGCCTACATAGCAAATATGAGAAAATAAAAGGATCCCAGCTCTATCTAATTATAGTATGATAATTGAAAAGAGGGACTGAGATAAAAGAAAATGGAGGCTGTCATGAGAATGCAGACTGGTAGGGAGTGATAAAGCGGCCCTCTGGTAGAACAAAGGAAAAGGGATGTCCTTTGTCTGACATATCTGCTGGCTGCAGACCTGTACAAGTAACCTTGGATAGGTCACTCCAAATCCAAGTGAGTGTCTTTGTTTTTAAACCTCCTCAAAATACCCAGACATGGCACTTGAGAGAGGTTCAGGCCAAGAGGATAATCTAGCTGGGAAGCCCAAAGGACAGAGTTTTTAGAAGCCATGTAAATAGAATATATCGCCAGTCAACACCTAAAGAATTTCCTGAGCCCCGTTTTTTATAAGATGCCTGCTGTGTTTGACCCCTTTGGGTGGAAATCATTAAAGGCAGTAAGAAATAATAGGTTCTTTTTTAAAAATTAAGTAATGATTAGGAAGACAGATAGTTTCACAGGTCAACATAAGATGCAAAAATTTCTTTGTCTAAAATGGAGATAGCAATATTTCGCATTGTTATGTTCAGCATCTAACATTTTTCATTTATTGCTCTCCCTCTAGATAAGTGGTTCTCAACCTTTCTAATGCCATGACCCTTTAATACAGTTCCTCATGTGGTGGTGACTCCCAACCATAAAGTTATTTTTGTTGCTACTTCAATAACTGTAATTTTGCTACTGTTCATGAATCGTAATGTAAATATCTGTGTTTTCTAATGGTCTTAAGCTCTCAACCATTTCATGACCCACAAGTTGAGAACCACTAGCAGGGTTGCCTAAGACGAGCATTTTTCAACCGCTGTTCCGCGGCACATGTTGCCTGGTGTGCCGTAGGTGCAGACAAGACAAGAATTTTATAATTTTTCACTATTTTGTTTACTTAATATTTCATGATAAAGTAATTATAAAATACTTTCTTTGTGTTTATTTGATTCCTATTCAAGAGAATTACTTTATATATAGTCAATATAGGCACAGAGTTAAATTTTTTAACATTTTCTAATGGTGGTGTGCCTCGTGATTTTTTTCATGAAACAAGTGTGCCTTTGCCCAAAAAAGGTTGAAAAACACTGCCTAAGACCATTGGAAAACACAGACATTTACATTATGGCTCATGAACAGTAGCAAAATTATAGATATGAAGTAGCAACGAAAATAATTTTATAGTTGGGGTCACCACAACATGAGGACTGTATTAAAAGGTCGCAGCATTAGAAAGGTTAAGAACCACTGCTCTAGATAGTTCAGTGTCTAATAAACATCAGAAGTGAGTACTACTAAGATGCCTTCTCAAAAAGCAGTCCCCTCCACTTCTGTTGGTATACAGGGCTGTTCTAGTCAAACAAAAATATGATAACTTTAACAAGGTAACCATTTTATTAATTTTATATTTATCTTATTTGTTGAATGTAAGTAACACATATCTTTGTGGGAGGGAACCCACAAAGCATACTTTTCATACTATTCTGCATTGTGTATCCTGTAGGGTTGTATACACCTTCAGAACAATATATGCAGGAGATTTCTCATTCTTTTTTTAAAGTTGCATAGTTTTACATCATGTGGATTTATGAAGGTTGATTCAACCAATCCTCTATTAATGGACATTTGTGTTCCCTTTAGAATGTAGTCTGTTCTCTTTATTTTATTTTTTGCCGCTCTCTGTTTTAAATACTCCTTTTGTTATTTTAAAAGGTTTTGTGTATTTTTCTAAAATTTTATCTTTTACATGAGATGTTCACCTTTATATAATAAAAGTATCGCACTTTTTAAAGATATTGTCATTTTCTACTCTAAGTAATATTTTAATCAGCCAGGCACCACTCTGCCTTCTTTTCTCTCCCTCAACTAATTTAATGTTCTTATAGTACCTGCTAGTATCTATCAGCACACTTGTTCTGCTTTCCTTATAGTCCCCCTTTGTTCATCTCTCACCTCTTTCACAGTTATATTTACATTGTCAGAGGAAATAACAATTACATATATTGAATGTATTCCTCCATCACTTAATCATATTGCTACAGTTAAATATACTTAAAGTTCATCATATATTCCATCCTAAAGCTTCTCCAATCATTTCTTATTTGTCTAAATCTTGTTCTTGAGAAGAGCTCATGGGAATTTTTTTTTTTCTGAGCTCTCTCACATTAATAACAGTATGAATGTGGCCCTTATACTTGTTGATCAATTTAGCTGAAAATTGATCAACTTAAATAGATGAATTATGTTAGTCCTTTGTGTAGCGGCATACAGTATTGTTTTACCTTACAAAATTAAGTAACTTCATATTAGTCCTGTTAATTAAGTAGCGTCATATTTGTCCTGGGTGTTCATTGAATCTTTTATTTTATTTTAATCTAATAGTTTTACTGTACTACGTCTTATCTGTAAGGGGCTGGATAGTAAATATTACATGTACTGCAGGCCATAAATTCTATGTCACAAGTATTCATTTCTGTTACTGTACTATGAAAGCAACCATAGAAAATATATAAATAAGTGGATGTGGCTGTCCTACCTAATAAAGGGAAATATGCTAATTGACTGCCTCACCCTCACAAAGATGGCCCACAGTGAATAAGGAGGGGATAAGCTAATTGACTGCCATGCCCTCAAAGAGGGTGGCGCCCATAGCCACAAGATGGCAGCACCCACACCC